ACATTTCCTAAGAACTCCAGCTGTGTTTTCTGTCGAAAGTGCCTAGGATTTACTACTGTATAAGGAGACAGGGTTAACATAACACTTCAGGGCCACATTCTTTAAATATATTTTTTTCATCTTAAATATATTTCTTCATTTCATGGATGTCTTTTGCTATCCCTATTCGTCTCTTGATTTCCATATCGCATTTCTATCCTCTGTTAGAAGACGACTCAAATAATAGCATTATTTATGCATGTTAGATTTTCTTCAATTGACAACCTTCGTTTTGATTCTCATCCGTACACCGCATGCCCATCAATTGCAAAGCCATCATTATTATTATTTTTTAAATTCCCAAAATAAAATTTCATCGTAAGGGTGGAAGAGATCTAGAAACACAAATCCTTATTGCCCTTTCTTATTTCACTAAAATCACTCTTACTTTCTCCTGTTATGCATACCATTTGTTTCCAATGGACGAAGCTCCTTTCCATTTATATCTACGGTTTGTATAAGTTCGTTAAGTTTTATGTTAACTAAGACCTTTGTGTAATTTATAAAAACAAACACACACACACATCTCTTTGGCATATCAAATGCAGCACGGTACTCACTTTTTCTGTGGGAATAAAGAGAAAAAACAGTTTGTTAGATTGTCTGTTTTTTTCGTTCTCTTCTCTCTGTCTGTCTGTCTTTCTCTGTCTCTCTCCCTCTATTTATCTTCTTATAACGATAGATATTGATATCGATAACAGGGTGATAATTAATCAAATTCAAGACACAATCTCCCTCGTTTCGTATTCGTTTGTTTATTCATTTTGTCTATTTATTCATTTATTATCATTTTCACTGTTACCCCGTGTATATATTTATTTATTTTATCTATTTATTTGTAGCGAAAGACTGTTACCCAGAGTGGACGTCCTTCTCATCCTCAGACAGTTTCGGCTGTTTTGGCGGGCTTTTTTCCTTCGGTGCGCATTTCCACCTTCATGGCCTTTAACTCGTGATAATCGTGTGGGTGAACTTCTAGCTTTTCGTCTGCGCAGCCATATGTGCTATACTCCTGGGTGTTGGAAATAGTTGTGAATATTGCTTTCGGCAGAATTTGCAAACTGGTAGTTGGTTAAAAAACGTAATATCCTGCGCAGGTGTTTCGTCTGCAGCTAGTTCCTCTGTTTTATGTGGTTCTGTTGCCTCGTCGCTCTCTACTAAATTGGTCACTGGACTGCATCAGGTCTGGTAGCCGCAGTCCGACCTTTTTTCACGGCGTCTTTCAGAAATGGAAACGGCCCAGGTCCATCAACCAGGCCATTAACGGGTTGCCGACTGAAATTGAAATTCAGGACTCCGATACCAGTCGCTGCTGGTGCGCCCGACAACTCGCCGATCGACTGGGACTATTCGCCGTCTGGCCAAAGTCGTCGAATCGGCATCGATTAATTTCGTCATCACCATCATCAAATGATTATTATCATGTTCATGTTCATCATCCTCATCGTCTGCATTTCATAATCACCCCCTTATCACTCTTTCATCATTATAATGATAATATTCTTTTCTATCATTATCATCACCATCACCATCATGTCACCATCATCACCATCATCAATACAATCAACATCGTCTTCATCATCACCATCATCGTCTTCATCATCATCAGCAGCAGCAGTCATGATATCGTTAACATCTCATGATTATCCTCCTCAATGCCAGCATTTCATCCTTTTATCCTTAACATCATTATGATCATAATTTTCCTTCTCCTTATCATCACTGTCATCATTATTTAATTACCGCCATAATCATTATAATTATCATTAGCCATCATTTGATTATTTAATTTATCAATTTCATTTAATCATCAAATCATTATCATTATTAACTATTTTTGAATATATGCGTATATATACATAAATACATACATACATACATACATACACACACACACACACACACACACACACACCACACACACACACACACACACACACATACACATATTATATATATATATATATATTATATTATATATATGTATGTGTGTGTGTGTGTGTGTGTGTGTGTGTGTGTGTGTGTGTGTGTGTGTGTGTGTGTTGTGTGTGTGTGTGTGTGTGTGTGTGTGTACTCTCTCTGCGTATATCAATTGATATACGCAGAGAGAGAGAGAGAGAGAGAGAGAGAGAGAGAGAGAGAGAGAGAGAGAGAGAGAGAGAGAGAGAGAGAGAGAGAGAGAGAGAGAGAGAGAGAAGAGAGAGAGAGATTTAAAGTTTTTTTTTAAAGATTTAGTTTTAATTCCATTTGTTACAATGGATATTCTTTGCTGTGACATGCTGCCTGTTTTATTTTGTCCAAATCTCCCCCTTTGTGCAAGGAATGGCCGAGGTTACCATTCACTGGCTGGGCGTGGGATTGAACGCAGGTCCGCAAGATTGCTAGACCAGCACCATACCGCTTGGGGAGGGAGGGGAGAGAGGGAGAGAGGGAGAGAGGGAGAGAGAGGGAGAGAGGGAGAGAGGGAGAGAGGGAGAGAGG